AAAAAAAAAAAAAAAAAGCTCAGGGTAAATGCACAACCTGTAAGATCTTCTCCACGTTCGGCTTCTTAGACCCTGTTGTTCCCAATCCAATCCTTACACTATTACAACTGCCAGTAGTTTACAGTAACCGGGTTAAAATAACGATGCCTTGTGGGCTTGTCCACGTGCAGAGGGCAGCCGGGACCTACTTGCCTTTGAGTGAGAAGACCCTCACTCCGGTGGAAAACAGCAACACCAATGGACAGTCTTACCCAAGGTTTTGCGGAGTCTCCGTGTCTATGGATAGACTCTTACGCCCTAAAAATAAAGCCCTTATATAAAAAGCTCACACAAGACAGGCTAAACCCACTCATTTGACAATTACCAGAAATCCAACAGGTGGAAAGGTTACCTCCTTAAGCAGCCATTCTGTCTTTTTGTCAGTGTAAACAAGGGCATAACCTTAGAAATACCGGCCCAAAGGCACAGAGGCCACTGACAGCGGGTAGCCTTTCTATCAAAAATCCTTAACCCAGTAACTCGTGGATGGCCCAAATGCATTAAGGGATAACACTTATATATAAAGTCTGCTAAAAGTTAACAGTGTAACATGTATTACCCTACTAATCTTGTGACCTTAGACAGTCTAGACCACAGACATGAAAGAAGTTTGCTTTGGAAAAGAACGGTTATCATCTTTGACAAAAAAGAAAAAAAAAAAAAAAGGAGAATTTATATAAAAAGAATCTTATATGGTAAATTCTTGTGCTAAAATAAAATAACTAAGGGAAGGGATGTTTACAAGTCAAAAAGTTGAAGATTGTGAAAGTCATGAAAAAAATGTTATAAAAGGGAATTTATGCAAGAAATGTTGTATAATTTAAAAGTAATTCGGCCTCCTGAATGTATTTTTGCTTTTTAATTTTTTTTAAAGACCAGGTTTCACCATGTTGGTCAGGCTGGTCTTAAACTCCCAACCTCTAGTGATCCACCCGCCTTGGCCTCCAAAGTGCTTGGATTACAGGTGTGAGCCACCACGCCTGGCCCTGAATGTAAAACTATTGAAGAAACAGTTTATGTGCAAGGTGTGTAAGGAAAATAAAATATACTTTAGGTAAAAAGATTATAAGGAGGCATAAGAATGTGGATTTCTATCTACATTAAAAAAAAGAAAAAAGGCCAGGCAAAGTGGCTCACCCTGTAATCCCAGCATTTTGGGAGGTCGAGGCGGGTAGATCATGAGGCCAAGAGATCG